ACAAAAATATGGTGGGAATAATTTTATTAAGTTCTTTCTCTCTCTCTCTTTTTTTGGGCTGTATTTTCCAGTTACAAAAAATCTCGTTCTTTTCAAGTACAAAATTACAAATTTTAAACACATAAACACAGGTTGTTCTTAAATGTACATAATGCTCTATACAATACAATACAAGAAAATAAAATGTGTAATTTCTAGAGATTTGGTGAAATTAAATAACAATTTTATCGCTTTTAACAAGCCCGAGCGCGTTCCGGGAAATCCAGGAGCTGCCCAATCAACGTTAGTCTAAACAATAAATGACGCAAAATGTGTCGAATTTCTGAATGTCGCGTCTCACCACCGTTGCAATACGTGAGATCGACGAATTATCAATTAAAAATCATGGTAAACTTTACTTACACATGGGGGTAACCATGGTGTCCCGTTAATCTATTGTGAATTTGCCCTTCTGTTAGATTTCCACAAGAAAAAAAATCTACATTACAAAAAAACGCCTTCTTTCTGCCGCTAAATATAACTTGAACCGGGACACTACACCCTATTTAGTATTTTTTGATGGTTGGAAAAGTGCCCTTATATCAAAATGCAAAATATGAATGGTACATTGTTTATTCCTCTATTTTGGAGAGGGAAAAGCTGTGAAACTTAAGTATAGGCAGTCTGTGACCCCTTCTCGATCATTTTATTCTATTTATCAGATATAACACACACTATACACTCATATTTCTATGCCTAAAAAACCTGCCGCATATTATCTTCTGTACCCCATCTTCGTAAAAGATCCAACTATTAAAATCATCAAATGTATAATTTAACATATATTAGGGCAAATGACATCTGAGAAAAACCGTCAGTTTTAAGCACAAACCGTGTATTCCGCTTTCTCCACGAAATTTTGCGCTTTTTTCAATTCAAATTCAATATTTCTCGAACTTAAAATGGTAACTGTACGAGGAACAAAATTACCAAACTCTATCAAGAATTAAACAACAAATAATTTACATGACTTTAAAATATGCAATTCAAGTTAATGGTTAAGTCAAAAGCAAACCCGATGGCTTCGTTTCGGGTCTACGATTATATTAATTTAATTCAATAGATCAATGTTGAAGATTAGTTTAAATGCCATAAATGAACCCTTTTTAAATTTCAAGTGAGAAGTAAAAAAAAAAGAAATGGTTTTATAATATAATTCTTCTGATAGATAAACAAATAGGAGTATGTTTTATTGAAGTACCTACTGCTTTCTTTTGAGTAATAATATAATATTGAATAGGAAATTGGTCGTACTTCCAATTATTTGCTTTGGTTCTTTTTTCTCTACTTTGCAGATCCATTCTTACTGACATACTACATTGTCTGTGACGTCATCGATATCAATTGCCAATTCAAAGCTATTTTCACCGTAGATTTTAATTGTAAACACTTCAAGTACAATTGCAAAAATTATCGCTCTTGTTGTTTGAGATATTTTCGTTAAGTTTTAGCTAATCTCTAGTACCTATAAGTATTTATAGAAAAAGATTGCTTAGTTTCCGGTCGTTATCTGCAATTAATACCGTCTGTTTAAATTGACCTATGACTTATGACGGAACAGAACGTGTGCAGATCTATAATTTTATAACATAAATTAACGTAAACTTCTACCTCTGAAAATCGAAAAAGCTTTATTGTAAGTTTGACAAAAATTCCTAAATCTGTTGGAAGCTCGGAATGTTTTTGGAATGGTAATAACCTTGCGTAGGTTTAGAGCTTTCGAGTGAAGGTTTCCGAAAAGCTGCGTTTTTTTGGTATCAAGAGGGATCCCGTGTTAAGGGTATGATCTCACTCTACATTTAAAAAAATTATAGATTTGATATTTTGCACGTCTTGGCAAACAAAACTATCAAATTGGCTTAGTTAGCCAACCGTAACGTTAATTACACAAATCATTAAATCACCATAGTCGATGTTTCCTTTGAGGTTGTAAATTAAGTGCAAGTACTGAGATCTTATTGTAAGCTATAATAACGACTGATCGTTACAATATCTAAATATAATTTCAACAATTCAAAGCAAGTTTCTTAAATTTATTTTGGATCTTCGTCTGTTTTGTTTTTCATTTTTTTTTTCATAACGATCTTGTATTTTCGTTCTAACCTTGGCTTTTTAACAAAGATAAAAGATCACAAAGGAGTTTAAAAACAAAACCGCTGACCACATCTTGATTCATTTGAGGTCCGTTAATTGCACGATCATAATCGCTTGTTGATTCACTTTCTTAAAAAAAAAGATTACCCACTGCTTATCTATATTTAAAACGGCCTAGTGCCATTAATTCTTTACCTAAAGATAAACAGAAAGAATAGACGATGCACCGAAGTGGATATGAAACAATATTTTTAGCCAGACGGAAAACTCGCTTTCCCATTTCAAAACATCAGGCAATTGAGAAATCTATTTTTGTTTGACGTGCACGTCGGCTTGGCCGAGTGCACTCTGGCAGACCTTCCAGAAGAAAACCCCTGAAAATAGGCGAAATTTCGTTTTCCGCGGTGTCAATCATTTCGACCGTTTCCACAAACGAACTTCATTTTCTCGCAAAATCTTACGTATATTCTCACGTTTATGTGCTTTGAATTCTAATTTTGAATTTTAAGTGGTGGGGCCGGCAGTTACGCCAGTGGCGGCCGGACCGGCCCGAGTTCAACATCTTCTGGTGAGAAAAATTTATTTGAAAAGTGGCCCTAAGCTCTTGGTAACTGTACTAATAATAAATTAACACGGAGTGTGTGGAGTTGGATAATTTTTAATTCTAACGTGATACTAATGTTTTTTTATTGTAGGAATTTATTATCGGGTTTGATATTTATTCTCGTGATGCCACCTTCGAGCCCACTTTAGCTACGCCCACGCAATTTTCATGTTTTTTTAAAATAAAGCAAAATATTTTATTGTGCGTGATTTTCGAAGATTAAATTAGATATGAGGTACAGTCGTGGTGAATTCGGAAAATGTTGCAATAGACTTATCCGTTCATAAATTAATTACTAGGATTTTTTTATCTTATCTGATCGATTGCGAATCTGTTCGATGAAGATGTCACAGAATATTTACGTGTCGATAACATCTGTTTATACATTTAGTAACACTTGTCGTCGTTCAAAAAATATGATACGAAAGTTATGGTAATATTTTGCAAAGTTTTAAAACATTTGCTTGGTTTGAAGAACATTGTTTGAAATAAAAATGCTCTAAATCCATTATATTTGTTATACATAATTAATTTTATTTAATTAGACATTTAGTATTGCTGTGTTTAGCAAGTGCTTTTGTACATTTTTCACAAATATAGTGATTTATATGCTTTTTGAAACCAGTAGATGGCTCTGTTTGGCAAACGTCAAATAAAGGCTGTCAAAAGTGAAAATGTGTTTGTAACTCACAGTTAAGTGACAAGTTTTAAATATTTAAGAAGACTAAATCTATTGTTTGTTTAATCAGATTGTGAGATGTACATTGTCGCCGTAAAATATTGAACAAGTTCTTTAAAAAGTAATTAAATATCAATATTAAATAATTTAGTAAAAAACTTGAACTAGTTAAACATTTTCTCGTTCTATTTTAGAAAAAAGTTGAACGTCTTCACTCTGAAAGTCAAAATTTCTCAAATTACGTGCCAAAATAGCCTGTTGTGAAAATGTTGTGAAATGTTCAAGCGCTTTGGTTCAATTTCAAAATAGTTTATTTATGTTGACACAATTGACAATAGTGTCCGAAGTGAGTTAGAACCCGAATCTCTGCACGAGTTCAAATTTTCCACCCCAAAAATGAACTAGAACCCCCACTACATAATTACTAATGGCATGGCAAAACAGGCTTTCTACATATTGTATTAAACGGCAGCTAAACCTAACTACAAATTTATTTATATGTTTAGAGATTTATTTATTAATCTTAAGATGAAAAACAGTAGTTTTATCTCACTCATAAAAATCTTCGCCTGCTTTTTACCTCATTAAGTTCACATAAAGTACAACAGATATCTGAGATTTTATCAAACATAAGTCGAGTACAAGTTGACAACTTTTCTTCAGTAATCAAAAATAAAACTACTAAGAATTTCTCTTAATTCTAAATATTACGAGAGTGTAAATCGGAAAAGCACTGCAATATCGTCAAATTTTCTGTTTTTTCGATGTTTAATAGCTCCTAGATTACGAAAAAGTATTGATAACAATGCTGGTATGTCAGTTCATAGTTGTCAATTTTGACATGAGGGTACCTAATAACCGTGTTAAGAAGATTGCAGCTACTGACTTGCCATAAATGTCAATTTGACGACTAGGTATAACACTTTAAATGTGAAAAAAAAAACTCAAGGCGGATTCATCAACCACAAGTACAGGAGAATATTATTTTATAAAATTTCAATAACAGTTACTCGTCAAAGTGTAATTAGACAAATTTTGGTTGAGATTTTATCATCTATACGATCATCGACACACACAAACGGAAACGGTGACCTATTTTTTCTCACTGTAGCTTCCATAAAACGTCGAAAAACCACGTCCTTCGCTCGGGAAGTAAAAATGCATAATTCTATTAATTTTGTTGATGAAATCAAGAACTGTAGACTTCATTTTCGCAAATTTCTAAAACTACTTTTTTGTTACTTCCTGAGCCTAGGCTAATCAAGTCGATCGGGCGACTTGCCAGTTTCATGTTTTCTTGATGTGTTATGACGCTTAGAGTACGAAAAAAGTGGTCTCCCGTTTGCGTGTGTTTGCCTGTCTGTCTGCTTGTCCATCTATGTTGATTTTTATTAGGTAGATATTCTCCGAAACTATCAGACCGATGTCAAATTTTGTATGTATATATTAGGATTATCATGTAGATGGTTAAACGCTAACCAAAATTTGGCTAATCATCCCCACCAACAATTTGATGATGTCATCTCCAAAATTTAGAATAGAAACAAGTTTGGTCAATTATTACACTTTGTAAATAGATACAAATTATACACTTAGCTAATTTCTGTTTTTATTAATTTTCCATATTATATACAACAAAGCTAACAATACGGCTGCAAGAAAACCGCAACAGGCCCCTAAAAGTGGAACGTATATGTTGTCCATTTTATAAAATTCATTGGATTTTATGGAACGAATAACACTTAATTCGTAACTTATAGATCTGAGATCACGCAAACTCTCCCTGATATCATAAATGTCCGTACCGGTAACACAGCAACTTTCTGCATTACTATTCGAAATATTTTTTAAAAATGCCACCATGACAAGCAAGAAAATTTGAGTACTTGAAATCATCTGTAAATAAAAACACAATAATTAATTATAATAATATATAGAACGAACGTAGACGTACTCACTTGTTTGGTAGATAACACGAAAGCACAGATTCACACACTCCAGCTAAAAAGTATGAAATAAAAACGAAAGTAGTTGTTTTCATCATTATTAAAAGCGTGATAAGAGCTATCTTTAAGTACTTTGAAGGAATGCAAGCGGAATTTTGTATTTCGTGTGTTCATCATTCGTCTTCATCGTCTTTGCACGTTATATATAAAGTTGTTGACGACACAGTTGCTACAGCTTCGTGGGGCGAGGGTAATGTGCCGCTCGGGCAGTCCACTCGCAACGGGTGGTGTATAATTGTGTCTCTCTGCGTCATCCGCTCGTCGTAGAAGGAATTGTGTCCTTCGACATAAGTGCAATTCGTACTCAGAGTGGTGAGGATTAAGCAAGCCCTGCCAAAATGTACAATTTACGTATTATAATTAGTAAAATTTACAAAGTGGAACGCAGTTGTTTGAAAAAAAAAAATAGTAAACCGCAACATATACCTAAAATAATGGTGTTAGTGTTGTACACTGAGTGAATATCCTTCAGATAAGCTAGGCGTGGCAAACTGTCCGTGATCACACTGATGGCCCAAGGGCTGAGACAACAGTTTTGTGCACCAATACTTGAAATATTTTTTAACGCAAGAAGTGAAACAGTCCTGATTTATAGGTTACCAAATATAATGTCAAATAGCTAAACAACGTGTAAAATTATCACGCACATTTTTATTATTATCAGTAGATGTCACAATAGTGATAAGCCAATCAGTGTCCCATAGGGGAGAGTCTTGTAAATTGACAATAAGGAATGTGAAAGGAAACTATAGAAAAAACATTAACTCAAATTTGTTCATACGAGGCATCATTTCACATATATAGGTTTTGGCATAAAGCGAAACTCATCAATATTGTTGCAAAACATTAAAATGTACTATACTGGAATCTTCTTATTAACATTATAGGAGTATGTTATTTTATAAAATTTAAATATTATTTCCTGTAAAATTTGCCAAAATCAGTCAAAGGTGGGTGGGCGGGGCTAAATATGTTCTTCTGTCGAATGGGAATGGAAACTAGTAATAGAATTTAGAATGTGAAAAAAGTCGAAAAAAAGTGCTAATCGTAACTTTTTTTGTTAAAATCAGTCTTATCTTAGCAAGTACTAGCCCCGCCCACCGCCCTATATGTTCTTGGAAGATATGTCATTAATTTTATTTCTGTTCAGTATAAGATCATTCATTTCATTCAAATCGGATAAAATCAGTCACCGAAAAGAAGACAGGGTGGGTGGGAGGGGCTAATTATGTTCTTCTGTCGAGTGGGAATGGAAACAAATTACAGAGTCTAGGATTTGAAATGTAAAAAAAAACGCTAATCGTAATTTTTGTTTGTTAAAATCAGTCTTATCTTAGCAAGTACTAGCCCCACCCACCCGCCCTCTATTTTCTTGGAAAATATGTCGTTTGCCAAAATCATTCTTATCTAAACAAGTACTAGCCCCGCCCACCCGCCCTCTATTTTCTTGGAAGGTATGTCATTTGCCAAAATCAGTCAAAGGAGACAGGGTGGGTGGGCGGGTCTAATTATGTTCTTCTGTCGAGTGGGAGTGGAAACTAATAATGGAATAATGAAACCAAAATTAATAATAATTTCCTTTTTTATCTACAAAATTTTTATAGAGAGCTATTTTGACGAAACTCTAAAAATTGCTGTATTTCAATTAGCGATTTTAGAAAAACAGTAGAAATTTCTGAAAACACGAAGCCGAAAATGACTTCTGGATATCGAAATCTACAAGAAATAATTCAACTTCAACTAATTTTTGGATGTACATAGTTGAAAAATGGTCGAAAATGTCAAAAATGGCAAAATAAGTCTTATCTTAGCAAGTACTAGCCCCCTCTTCTCATTCTAACGACTAATTTTATTAGATCATTCATTTTATTCAGATCGGATAAAATCAATCACTGAAAAGGAGATAGGGTGGGTGGGCGGGGTTAATTATATTCTTCTGTCGAATGGGAGTGGAAACTAATAATAATAGAATCTAAGGTGTGAAAAAAGTAAAAAAAAGCGCTAATCGTAATTTTTTTGTTAAAATCAGTCTTATCTTAGCAAGTACTAGCCCCACCTACCCGCCCTCTCTCTTTTTGGAAAATATGTCGTGTGCCAAAATCATTCTTTTCTAAACTAGCCCGGCCCACCCGCCCTCTATTTTCTTGGAAGGTACGTCATTTGCCAAAATCAGTCAAAGGAGATAGGGTGGGTGGGCGGGTATAATTATGTTCTTCTGTCGAGTGGGAGTGGAAACTAATACTAGAATAATGGAACAAAAAATAATAATTTCCTTTTTTATCTAAAAAAATTTTATCGAGAGCTATTATTTTGACGAAACTCTAAAAATTGCTGTATTTCAATTAACGATTTTAGAAAAATAGTAGAAATTTCCGAAGAAACGAAGCCGAAAATGACTTCTGGATATCGAAATCTACAAAAACTAATTCAACTTCAACTAATTTTTGCATATAGTTGAAAAATGGTCGAAAATGTCAAAAATGGCAAAATCAGTCTTATTCTTATCTTAGCAAGTTCTAGCTAGATGACGTCATCAAGTTGTTGGTGGGGATGATTAGACAAATTTTGGCTAGCGTTTTACTATCTATATGATATTTTTAATATACATACAAAATTTGACAACAAAAAAGGCGAGAAACGACGGAAAACAGACAAACGGAAACGAGAGACCCATTTATTCATACTCTAGGGTCATGAAAAGTCGAGAGAGAAGTAAAATACTTTACTAAAGATTTTTTTTTCAGAATCGTTGATAAAGTATATACAAAATTTTGTTGAGATTAAATTATTATCTGACATTATCTAATTTTCCCAAAATATTGGATTTTGTCTAAGAGAGTTCATATTTCATCCACTTGGTTGACAATATACTTGATAAAGAAAATTGATATGTACTACAAATAAATAATAGCGCTATGTTATATATAAAGTTTGCAAAACAGAACATTTGTTTAAAATATTCTCTATTTTATTATATTTATAGATAATAAATACAAATTATACACTTAGCTATTTTTGTTTTTTATGAATCTGATATATTATATACAACAAAGCTAACAATACGAATGCAAGTAAACCGCAACAGGCGCCTAGAAGTGGGATATATACGTTCTTTATTTGATCAAATTCCCGGTATTTCGAATCAGCAATGTACTGTAATTTGTCATTTATATTTTTGAGCTGACTCAAACTACTGTCGATACCCCAAAGGTCCATACTATTGATACAGCACTGTGCATTAATATTTGAAATATTTTTTAAAAAGGCGACCACGACAAACAAGAAAATTTGAATGTTCGACATCATCTGTAAATAAAAATGCATTAACTGTATATTGTAATATTATAATTAACACAGACTTACTTGTTGATTTGTGTTTAATCACAGGAAGTGAAAGAGTTCGATGGGTACTTAAGACATTTTGAAAAAACGTGACCTGATTTAAGCTTTATTGCGAATCACAAACGGAATTTGAAGATTTATACTACTTATATAGAAAATTAATCTAGATTTATATGTTACCTAATATATTGTGAAGTCGCAAAGAATGTGTCAAAGTTATAATGATTCTTTTTGTTATCAATAGATATGTCATTGTAGTGATAAGATAACCAGTGTGTTTACTACAGTTCTTGATTTCAGAAATAATATTACACTGATTTAAATTAATTTAATTTTATGAAAAACATATTAATTGGATACTCTTCAAAACGGTTTAAAATCGTTAATACCATTAACAAAGTCATTTAACAGACACTGTCACCACGTATCTTGCCCACGTTAAAAAATTAAAATCCTAGTTCCACTCCATTTGTTTCTTTAATGACTTTTTCTATTTTTGCCCCTTAGTGCGTCAAGTCCTTCCATCGACACCGATTTAGGCTCTGAAGAAGGCGAGAGTACTGGATCAGCAGGCGACAACGAGATCGCCATTGAAGCCATTTCTGAAAGACTGACTGAAGTCACAGGACTCGCTGAAGAGCTGGACCAGGCTCTGCACAGTGCTCAGCAAGATTGTTCCGTTCTGACGTCATCAGCTACCTTTGCCTCTGTCACTTCTTCGGAACCGGAAACCGTCGTGTCGGTGAACACCGTCATGGATGCTCCTACTAATCCGGAAGTAAGTACTCGGGAAATATTGGTGTTTGTGGACTTTAACCGTAATGTGCAACTGTCTGATACTAAATTTTGTTTGATTCTACCTATTCTTAAACTTTAAAACATTTTAAGTAAAGACCTTAGTGTTTGGGGAGCGCATAAGTTTTGATAAGTAGTTTTAGATTACACTGGTCAACAAAATTTAATTTTTTCTCTCTAACTTTGACATAATTGAAATGTTTTCGTTTAATTTGTCTTTGTGTTTGTAACAAAGAGCATAAATCTTATAACTTAGCTCAATTAAAAAAAATATGCATATGTGATGTTAGAAACACAAAATCAGGTAAAACAATTTAATTTTTGTATCTTTAACGGCAAAAAGTGTAGTATTAACAAAAAAAAACAACCATAATTAAGAAAAAAAAGCGAATGTCGTTCAAAAAAACGAAAAAAACAAAAGAAACAGCTAAGACCGACGTTTTTTCGGTTGCCTCCGATAGATTTCATTGGAGATTTCTCGCTTGATGGCCCCGCAGTATTCTGCGAGCATTTAGGTGTTCCATCGATCTTGGTAACGTTTTTCTATCGACAAAATGCCCAGATTAAAGCGTTCTCCATGTTGGTCACTTATGTCGTCACAATTTTTGGGACAATAATCAAAGTGCAAATGCATAAAATGCACTTTTAAGAATATGTTAATTTTAAATTTTTTATATGACGATAACATGTTTTCTACTTACTAAACGTAGTTTTCTTATTGCTTCCCAAGAAGTTTGTAGCAATTTGATAACAAAAAAATACACCTTATAGAAAGTTTCCTATTACTTAATAGTACGATTTTTGTATTTTTCAAAGGATAATATTTTAAGATTTCTTTTAAATGAGAGCTAAGTTTTGGTTTAGCGCTTTATAATATCATTTAAAATTGTTAATTAAATAATAATTGACTGCTATAATAAAAGTTAGAGCTTAGCTGTTGACCAGTGTTATTTTGTCGGTTATCGGTACAAATATATGGTACTGGTATAGCGGTCATTTCAGCAAAATTTAGAGGGTATTATTGACTTAAGGTTTATCAGGATTACCAGTTGCTGGTCACAAAAAATGCCAAGTTAAACTAAAAGTCAACATGTTTTATTGCGAACAAATAAAAATATACAACAACAATATACAACATAGGCAGCAGAGCATTATCAAACCATTCGATCAAACCCTCTATAATACTGTTCCTTCTCTAATAACCAATTCCAAAAGATCCTATTCCACCATGTTCGCTGTGTCCTTCATACTTTATTCTGTAGTCAGCCCCATGTTTACCGGCACGGTATTCCACAATCCTCTTTCTTCCATCGGGCTGAAGAAGACTGTAATGTCCCTTGGTTTCCTTTCCGTCCCTGTGTTCCCATTGGTTCTTGAAATCGTGGGTATGAGGATCGTGCACATGGTAGTCATAGTGGTAGCGAGGGTGTGCCCTGTAGTCAACGTATTCCTCGAGGTGATGGTGGCCGTATCCTTCACCACCTTGGGCGGACACTGCTGCTACAGCGACGACTAGAAGGGCTAGAACCTGGAAATTTTGAGTGTTAGTTGTTTGGGTTTTTAATTAAATGCGGATACTTACTGCTCCACCTTGCATTTTGGCCTATGTGTTTGTTGTTGGATGCTGGACCTGAGTTGACTGACAATCGCAGCGTTTTGCGGCTATTTAAACAGATTTTGTTTGTGAAAGGAGGTCCTGTTTTGCATTTCCTTATGCGTAATTAGTATTAATGAAATGATAATGGCAATGATTTTTATTTTAAAGGGCCTACTATGGTACCAGACGGCTTCAAATTTTTCATTTGTAAAAGATCGAGTAGAGAGGGGGGTTAATATTAGAGGGAGTTCTTCATCATTTTACGGCTTTGAATAAAAGCAGTTTTTTAATTCACTTTATTGTTTTAAATTATTGTTATTGTACATGATATATAATCATTAATCATGTTAACGTAACAAAAACACAATGTAACACCTGACTGAGTTTGTGTTAATTTTAGAAAACATGTGCTTTTTTAAGCTTGTTCTGTGTAGGAATGTTAGACAACGTTAATTCTTTGTTGCTTTACTTGGTTTATTTTTAAAAATTTTGTGATATTTGTAACTTAAAATATTTCCGGCTGTTAATCATTTTAAAAATTTTTTTACTTGATATTTCCGCACTCTTTAAATTTGATTGATAAAAAAATATTTAGGAGTTAAATGATGTCTCTGACACCAGTTATGCAGATGGTACTACTGCATGACTGACACATCATACCCTTTTGTCAGCTGACAGGTGTACTGTGTCAAAATTAAGCACATGTACGTATTCTGTCAACACCAAGTGACCAAAGTGATTAATTTAAGGTTATGTTGACAGTGATTTACGTTAAATTGAAGACAATGGTATCATCCAAAAATAATTGTATTGATTTGAACAGTTTAGATTCTAATTTCGAATACTTTTTTGGTTTTTGATAAATTATTTTTGACACATCTCAAAGTTTTGAAAATTAAAAAAAAAATTGATTTTCTTTTTTGAAACTATTTTGTACATGTTCGTGATTTATGAAAAGCGTATATTATTTTAAAGAGCTCCAGAATTTTCAAAATGAAAAAATCAAAATGGTTCGACAGTCGCAAATTGTTTAATTCTCGGATATTAGAAAAAAATTTGATTATCCTTGAATTGTTTAACTAAAAATAGAAGACTTCCCTGGAGTATTTCAGTTTGTTTTGTTGTTCTGTGGTCATTACTTGGTTTATGACAATATTTTCAAAATAGTTTATTTTCAGACAGTTTTAAATTTGGAAAACCTTCAAAATTTAACGTAAGAGATTCTAAAAACAGGACAATATGCCTTCATCTATAATTTTGTTTTGCCTCGAAAATTCTGGAGCTTTTAAAATAATGTAATAAATTTTTTTAATGTCTACATCATCAACAATTTTTCTATGCTTTTTTTTTAAACTTTTTTGTACAATTTATATTTTGGATATTAAAAGAAATTTTGGTGCTTCTTGAAACTGTTGAAGTAAAAATAGCAGACTTCTTTCGGCATAATTTCATTTACTTTTTTTTGATTTGTAGTTATTGTTTAGTTTATGTTTATTTTTGAAATATTTGATTTCCAAATGGTTTTGAATTTGGAAAACTTTTGAAATTTAGCATTTCACATTTGTAAAAAAGAAATATGCTACATATACAAATGAGATTCAAAAATAAAAGCAGTAAAAACATTTTTCGTTGATTTAGGAATAAAAAAAGGCTTAAAGATGTTCCAAAGATAATTTAAAAAAACCTCCATTATTTTAAAAAGCTCCAGAATTTTCAATATTAAAAAAATCAAAATGGTTCGACAATCTCAAATTGTTTAATTCTGGGATATTAAGAGAAATTTTGATCATTTTTGAAATTGTTAAACTAAAAATAGAAAATTCCCTGGTAGAATTTCAATTTCTTTCCTTAATCTATGGTCATTATTTAGTTTATGACAATATTTTCAAAATATTTGATTTTCATATTTGAATTTGGAGAATTAAAAAATTTAACATAATAATTTTTTTAATGTCTAGATCACTAAAAATTTGGAGAACTTTTGAAATACAAAAAAGTTTTTTAGAAATAAAAAAAAACAAAAAAAATTACTAAAAGCCCACCTTATTTTAAAAGTTCCAGAATTTTCAAAATAAAAAAAAATCAAAATGATTGGACAGTCGCAAATTGCTTAATTCTCGGGTAGTAGGAGAAATTTGGATAATCTAAAAATAGACGATTTTCCTGGTAGAATTTCAGTTTGTTTTGTTAATCTATCGTCATGACTTGGTTTATTACAATATTTTCAAAATATTTGGTTTTCAAAGGGCTTTGAACTTGGAGAACTTTCAAAATTTAACATAACAAATTTCTCAAAAAAGGACAATATGCCTCTATCGAGCTATTTTTGATATAATTTTGTTTTGTCTTGAAAATTCTGGAGCTTTTAAAATAATGTAGGTTTTTGGTAAATTATTTTTGGAACAGCTTCAAGTCTTCAATAATTTTTTTAATTTCTATATCATCAAAATTTCTTCATATGCTTTTATTTTTTAAACTATTTTGTATTTTTTGTATATTTTTCAAGTTTAATTCTTTAATATTAGAAGAAATTTTGATCCTTCTTGAAATTATTTAGCTAAAAACACAAGGCTTCTTTATGCATAATTTCATTTTTTTTTAATTTGCAGTAATTATTTCATTTATGATGATATTTTTGAAATATTTGATTTTCAAAAAGTTTTGAAATTGGAGAACTTTTAATGTTTAGCGTTACACATTTGTAAAAAATGCACTAAATGTACAAACGTATCAAAAAAGGACTAAAACAATTTTTCGTTAATCTAGAAATAAAAAAAATCAAGGCTTGAATAATTTACCTTAAGTCTACATTATTTTAATCTAAAAAAAATCAAAATGGTTCGACAATGACAAATTGTCTAATTCTAGGATATTAGCAGAAATTTTGATCCTTCTTGAAATTGTTGAATTTAATTTTTTTTTTCTTAATTTGTAGTTTTATTTCTAGTTAATGACAATAATATTTTTGAAAAATTTGATTTTCAAACAGCTTTGAATTTGGAGAATTTTCAAAATTTAGCATTTCACATTTGTAAAAAAATATGCAATATACGTACAAAAGTTTCAAAAATAAAAGGACCAGAATTTTCAAAACAGAAAAAATCCAAAATGGTTCGACAGTCACAAATTGTTTAACTCTCCGGTATTAGGGCAAACTTTGATCATTCTTGAAATTGTTACAGTAAAAATAGAATACGTCCTTGATAGAATTTCAGTTTCTTTTCTTAATCAATGGTTATTACTTGGTTTATGGCAATATCTTCAAAATTTTTTCAAACACTTGATTTTGGAGAACCTTCAAAATTTAATATAACAGATTTTTAAAAAATGAAGGCCGCTATCGAGCCATTTTGAATATAATTTTGTTTTGCCTTGAAAATTCCGGAGCTTTTAAAATAATGTAGGTTTTTGATAAAGTATTTTTGGGACAGTTTCAAGTCTTGAATAATTTTTTCAATTTCTAAGTCAAAAAAATAGTTCTAGTACTTTTATTTTTGAAACTTTTTTTGTATAAATTGGTCAAGTAAAAATAGAAGAATTCCTTAGGCATAATTTAATTTCTTTTTCTTATTTATTTATGATAATAAGTATTCATATTTCTAAAAAAGGAGTTCAATTTGCGACTACTTTGTTCTGAAAATTCTGGAGCTTTTAAAATAATGTATGCTTTTTGTAAATTATCTTTGAGCCTTTTTTTAATTTCTAGATCAATAAAAAAATGTTGTCGTGATTGTACTTTTGAAAATTTTTTGTGCATATAGGATATTATTAAGGATTAATTCTTTACACATTCGGAGAAATTTTGATGACTCATGAAATTGTTAAAAATAACAGATTTATTATTAACCTAAAAATACAAGATTTTATTAGTAGAATTTCAGTTTTTTCCTCAATTTATGATTATTACATACTTAATGTAAAATATTCGATTTTCAAAAAATATTGAACCCGGAGACTTTTAAAATTTCTCGTCACACTTCTAGAAAAGAACCACAATACAATTATTATCGATTCAACCTCAAAATAAAATGTCTCATTGCTACTATTCTGTATTTTCAGCACAAGCCTTCCAAACCCGACGACTTCAAATCCGACGACGAATTCCTAACCGCCTCCGAATGCACCCTCCAGCACTCCAGATCCTCCTCCTACAACACTGCCTCAGAATGCGAACACCGCTACTCCCCCTGGTGGGAGTACGACAAATCCATCAACGAAGACATCAGCAAGGAAAAAATGGTCCTTGCGGTGGGCCTCCCGGAACTCCCTCCAGCCAAAGCCGTCCTGAAACCCTCCCCCGAGGTACCTCCCGGCAAAATAGTCCACGAGGTCACCGAAACCACCCACATTAAAGTCCAGCATTCACACACCCTGGGCGTGGCATCCTTCGTTTTGACATCTGAAACCGTCCGAGAGAAGAAAACAGACGGAGCCGTCGTGAGGGAAGAAGTCGTCTCTGTGGCTCCGGAACTCGAGGGCTTCGAGAAAAGAGTGAAGGAGGTAAGTGGGTTTGAGGAGGAGTGGAGATTGTGCACTGCTAAACAGGCCATCAAGGGATGTTTCTGAGGCTTGCTTTGTGTTTTTAAGTCTTTTAACTTTTATTTTTTAGAGTGAAGTTAAATTGTGTAACTGTTTTTTGGTTGTAAGCTGTATAGGGTTATTTTGCTTTTTGTAAAACCTACACGCTGAACCAGAATGAAGTGGTTGTTCGTAGGTACCTTTTTTGGGTCATTTTGACGATTTTTTCGAAAATGCCTCTGTGACTTTTCTGTGTTGTGTAAGATTATGTAGTTTTGGCCCGATTTTGGCCGATTTGTGATCAGTCCCGTGCCACTGTTGTTTCGTAATTAAGCTTAATTAACAAGTGGAGCGCTGATTGTGTACTTTTAGCTCATTACAGCTGCAGAAAGTAGTTACTCGAAGAAATATTTTAACCCATGTCTGCCATAGAAAGCTAGTGCATTATGCGCGTGCCGTATTTACATATGTACTTGTTATATAATAATTAATAATCTTATTACTAATGCGATAGAAAATATTTTTTCGCCTGCCCTGTACGAGCGTTACCCAACAACCAGATCAGGGAAAAATGTTTTATGTCGCTGTGAGTGCAGTCATGTATATAGAGGTGTTGATTTTGATTATTTTTTATTTTATTATAATTTTATTAATATATGTGTTTTTCTCACTTGTGTGTTTGATTTGCATGCGCTTGCCTCCGACCTGATCTAATTTTGTCTCCATGTGGCGTGAGCGGCCAAATTCTGTTTTGCGATAAATTTAAAGCTGGACATTTTATTCAACTAGCAGTGGGACGTCTCTGATAGAAAAGGGTATTTTTAGAAAATCATCGTCTTTTTAAAAGAAAGAAAAACGAATGTGTGACGTTCCGAGCGACCTTTCGTTTTTTGCTTGTTTTTGGGTTTCACAACGCACGTGAAAATAGAACATAAACAAACATGACATAATTCCAACAGGTGTTTATACAGTTTTTAATATCCGAAGTGGGTATTTTATTTCGAAATACAGTATTATATTTTAGGACACATTAAAATTTATCGCGAGTTATGGGCGATAAATGCTGGTGAATCGATGCCAAAAATCTTAAAACCAGCGCTAAATTAAATGGGTCAGTTATGTTCTAAATCAATTTTGACTTGAAAAGAAATAAAACGAGCGCGAGTGGCGGTAATAATAATTGCCCGATGGTGGATTTGTTGCTGTGTTGATGTATGCAACCAGATGTGCGATTAATCATTAGAATTGCAGCACAGACAAGTAGAGAGAGTTTATCGGCGAATTTTAAGGTTTGAGGTGTCACTAAATCAAACGACGGTTTGAAATGTGATGACATTTCTTAATAGAATAAATAATTTAAAAAAAATTCTGGCGGAAAATATGAGCTATTTCGCTGATATTTCACTTTTATTTTTTTCTTTGATGGAAGGAAATGGATGTTTAATGTATGTGGGAATGAATCACAGTTTATAACAAACATAATGCATAAATATACATCGAAGTTCAAAGAAGACTTTATTACAAGGTAAGTCACTAATATTTACTAAAATTACATACACCTTTTTTACAGCCGAATTTTAACTATAGAACCAATTTCCGAAAATCTTCCTCGTAAAAATGTTGTTAGTTCGACGCAACTTTAGAATCAAACCACTTTTAAAATGTCGGTATTTTTTTAGATTTTGTTGTTTATTTTTGGCGTATTATTACGTTGTCATTTATGTTTAGCTTTATTTTTGACTCGTTATTCAAATGGACACTGGTCCATTTTTGGAAAACATATAAATAAAATATTAAAATTTGTTAAGTACGGACAGAAAAAATTAAAAAGCCGATATTCTTTTAAATTACTTCAAAAATAAGATACAAGGGGTTCCCGAGATTCTAATAAATTGCTTCAAAAGCAAAACATCGAAAGATTCTCGAAATCCTTCCAGATTACTTCAAAGTCAAGATGGGACTTCGAGGTCTTTCAAACTAGTTCAAAAACAAAACGCAAGGAGTGCTCGAGATTCTTTAAATTTATTTTAAAAACAAGGCAAAGGATCCCAGACATTCTTTCAAAGTACTTCAAAACAAAACAAAATTTCGGCTTTTCAGATGATAAGTCAATAATAAATAAAACATTCGGAATCTTTCTTATAATAAATATCCTGCAATACAAAGTACAATTGAGTGTATTATTGGTGGTAGAAGAAAATGTTCATCCTAATGTAATTTTGACCTAAGGAAAATCATTGTTGATAACATATTTGGAATAAAAATGAATTGAGAGGAATTTTTTTTAATTGTTATTTTACTGAAAAAAGTCAAAAAAATACGCATTTTGACTTGACCTAATATCTCGCACCAGGAGCATAAACACCCTTTTTTGGAATCAGCACAACGAAATTTACAACCCAAAATTTTTAGGGATTTTTTTTCTACTTTTTCAAAAACAAAATGTTTCAATCAAAGTTTCCTCAATTTCGACAATTTTCGAAATTTAACCAAAGACATTTTTTCACAGAACATTTATCTAGCACCAGTTTTAAAAAAATGTTATTGGAAAAATTAAGACTCAAAATTTAAATAAAATATTAGAATTTGATAATGATAAAACTGTTTTTTTTTTATAGGAATAATGTATGTTAACACTGAGTGACCATTGTTAATGTTGGTGATTTTTTGTCAGGTTGGCAACATATTTAAAATTTTATGGCGGCATCCCTTAAATCAGATTTAAATTTTGGGTACCATCGGTTTTTAGCCACGCTAATTTTAAAATTGACAACTGTGAACTGACATATTAACATAGTTGACAATAATTCAGAATTACCAACCCTAAAATTTGCTTCAATCATTAATATTCACGTCATGTGTTAGAAATTAAACTGGGTAAGGAGACTCTAAAAATTAAAACCAAATTTTAAAATCAGAAACATAATCACGGAATTTTCTCTTTGTGCAATTTATTGTACAATGGTTTATTTTTGAAAAATTCGTCATGAACCAAAAATTTTCGCATAAATAAGTTTGGAAATGAATTTGCCAATTCTTAAAACTTCTTTACTACGGTGTCACTTCAACTGGCAACACTCCATTAATTCCATTATTTGTTTACAAGACGTTTTTATATTTTAACGTGTCTTTTAAATCTACTTTTGAAAACACTCCAAATTTTCAAAATCCAAATATTTTGCTAAAAAAGTTATTCAAAATTAGAGAATACACTATAGGGTAGAAATGTATTAGCAATTTCGAGGTTTTTACATTTACATTTCCACCATTTCGTATCTTTAAGTTCAATTTTTTTTTATTTTTGCAAAAATCTTACAAGTCTTAGAAGTAAAATTTGGTATAAATCTGTCAAGCCTTATATGGAAAATAAAAACAGAGTAAAATGAGTCCGTAAACTATTTTTGGGAGCGTATACTATTTTTTTTTTTTCATTAAAATTTCTTCATATTGACAATGTGTGCGTTTTGCTGCAACAAAATATTAAAATTCTGAAAATTTGGCGCGTCAAAGTAAGCGAGTGTGAAGATGAAATTATGAATACATATGTTCTAAAGTAGGTCTAGAGGAAATCTGCAGTATAAAAAAAAATAACGCAGGTTGTGAACACGATAATAAATTTAGGGCGTTGTTGCTATTTGAAGTAGTGTCAAGGATTACTAAAAATTATTTTGAAACGTCTAAGTGACATGTTGCAATTTTCAAAAAATTGGTCTAAGAATATTAAAAATAAACAAAATCAAGCTGGATTCATTAACCACAGGTACAAGACCATTTTATTTTATAAAATTTAAATATCCTTTGTTGTGCAAAATGTTGAGCTGACGTCATAAAATTGTTGGTGGGGACGATTAGTCAAATTTGAATTAGCGTTTTACTATCCACATGATGGACTAAAAGATCTATTTTTTCATACTCTAGCGTCATGAAACGTCGAAAAAACACTAAAGTAACCATTCGGAGAAGTTCCCAGGCCGAACCTATCACCCGGCTCGGTAATCAATATTTTTGTTATTTCTATTGAATGACCGCATTTTTAAGCGTTTCATCTGTTCCCATAAATAATTTTATCTTTAAAAAATGATACGATTATACAATCTTGTCGAATGATCTGCTACTTCTTCGCCAACATTAGGATGACCCTGTAAAACTTCTCACTTGTGGCAAAAATACTTTAGATTCTTTAGTCGACTGACTCGCTCTTCCCTTTTGTTTAAAATCCAATTGTTTGTTTATAAAGTCCCGACCGCAATCCTGCTTCTAGGTACATTCGGAACCATAAATCTGATTTAATAACGCGTGCCAGGGTAACAAAATAACAAATAGAGAGTCACCACCTCATTTAGCACCCACTGAGAAACCCATTCGCCACCCACACCCATCACCCCATACACACTCTTATCACAATCAACGCCCATGACAAACCCGCCGCATCTTACTGCATTTTCACAAGTTCAACTTGGGTCAACCGTTCCCACTTAAAAAGCCGATAATCCTTATCACGTACGAAATCCGTATGCAACCAATTGTTGATCGCCCGACGTCATAGCCACACATACACACTCACACACGCTAAACAAACAGGCCAAACAGAAGGGAACAGACACGATGTGGTCATCGTAACGCTGCAGTTATGAAGCCGACCAACATTTTGGTTCAGTGTGTTTTCGCGGCTCCGTCGACGAGGTTCCCAGCGAACGAAAATAACCGACACGCCACCAAATCGCACGGATTTGAGGCCCATTGACGCGACGTTGCGCGTGTGACATGTGTCTGTGATCAAAAAAAAAAAAAAAAAAATTCAAATGGATACCAAAGACGAAACGTCCACTTCTTCGGCCATGGCCAAGACCACCACCATCAGTACCATCGCGGTGCAAAGCGGGAAAACAAGGATCGTCATTGCCTTGCTACATGTAGGTGCCAAAAAGACACTTTTGCAAAATTCGTTTCAGAGCGGTGTTTGTTTATACGGCTATTTTTGGACTTGAAGATGAAGCAAAAGATAAACTTGTCTGGTAGTCATACCAAAAATTTTGACCAACGTACACTCAAAGTGACCAAAACTTTGTTTAGCTAATTTTGGGTTGTAGAAGTCTTGGTATCCAGAAAAAGACGCAGTTAATGAAACGTTCGACCTTATTTTGACCCGGTGTTTAAAAGTGCCCTTTGTGCAAAGACCATGAAGGTTTTTTTGGTACCACGCGAATCCATTAATTGCGAATTTCCTCTCACCTGCTGTATTTTCAAGCGCGCAAACACGATTTCGCTATTTTTAAGTGTGCATACAAAATGACTCAAAATTAAATCTGTTCAAGGCTCGCCTGAGTAAGCGCCACCCGATCGACCCGATCTGACCCACTTGATTTTAATAAAAACGTTCATACTTAATACCCGAATTGTTGCGAAGAAAATTCGCGCTGGACTAGTGCCAGAAGCAAGTATTTTTGTATTTATAGCCCATTTTACAGATATCGGACCGGCGTCTGTCTCTCTTCCCCGGTCTTTTTTTGCGATTGAGCAATAATTCCCGTTTGTTTACCACATTTTATGATGATTGACTACTAACTGAAGTCCGCTTTCGTTCCTCTGGCAAAAATGGCGAAACTGTGGACAAGTTGGAGGGTGTTCGTCGTGTTTTAATAACCGACTCACCTTGTACATCATCGAGTAATGGATTTATGAGCTCTGTAAAATTTAAACTGGTGATTTTGGCATAATTATCTTAATTAATAATCAAATTTATTGCCAGGTTCGGTGCTGCATTTACATAAATTCTTCGGTCCTTTTGGTGTCGTGCCGGTTTTGCGTGTTGATTTGTGACGGTTTGTTTTGACTTTTTTATTTTTTCGAATTTGTGAAAATAAATTCTGAGCGTAGCATGTGTGTTTATTGTTCTTATTTTTTAATTCGCGATGTGCGGCATCCTTGTTCTGGTTTTTTGTTTATGCAGAATTATGAATAATCCGCGGCGTCGTTGTGGGTTTGAGTTGGAACGGCAGCTTTGTTTGGTTTTTGTGGGCAACCGAATGTTGTGAATTGCTAAGTGTTCTATTTATAACACTTATCTATGTAAATTTTATTTTGAGTATTCCTTAACTGGAAGTCGCAGATAACGTAGTTGCATAAACATTATCAGTGAATTCCTTAAGTATACTCGACTCTTGACATTGAGTTGGCCAAAATTTTCGCCATTTTTCTGGAATTGAAACTTCTGGCGGAGTATGCCCTAGATCAAGCATACTGGAAGTATTTTGGGTCACAACCTCAATGCTGCAGTTTGTTTAGATTGGCGTATCTAAAAATACGAAATGTCTGATTTACGCCACATCAAACCACCGTAGATTATTTCGGGGAATGGTTGTTATACTTGATGAATAACAAGAAGGTAGAAATAACTGCTGTTCTGCGTTTGTAAACACTTTTAAATTATTTATTTATTTGCATTTTTAAAATTTTGAGATATAGATATATTTATACAAACATTGACTGCAATCCCATTCTAACCTTGATGAATGTTAAAGAAACATAAAGCGGGAAAACAGGATCGAAGTTCCATTGGTGTTTTGAAAGAAAATACAACTGGTGGTGGCGGACAGCACATCGCGTCAAGATGCCGAGAAGTGATTATTTAAAATTTAAAATTTTAGTAGTCCGAAAAAAAACAATAACGGATTTGAAACAGAAATAGTTGAGAAAAACAGAAAATTAAACTATTAAAGACCAAAGATAAACAGATTAAACAGAAGCTTCAGTATTTATTTACACAGTAATAGCGAGCTTTTGGAGTAATTATTTTCAGTGAGTATCACTGCTATTAATACTTTAGTGTATTAAAACTCATGAATATTAATGCTCAAATATTTTTATATTTCATATTAAATTGAGTATTTTAAACTACAGTCCTACACTAAACTTGAAGAAGTTCCGGGGGTTTATCTGATACCAAATCCAGTTTATTATAACCAGAAACCACTATGTAAATGAAAGATCACCAGATAATATCGTTACGCTGTAATACCTAATCCTATAACCTGAGATTTGTGTCACCATTACTAAATAAGATGATGGCTTTGAAATTTCAGCCACTTAACTCAGTTATAATCCGATAAAGTGTATGTATGGTTTCATGTACAATTTAGTAACGACACATTTATTCTCTAAATTATTCATTTTTTCCAATTTTTGAAAAATTATTGTACATATGATTTTAAAATTACAAATTTTTTGAAATTTTACCAAAAGATTTTTCAGAAATAATTGCTTTATATGAAATTCATAACTTCAGTATTATTTGGCACAGAAACCTGGTGGTAAAACATGTATGACATAGACAGAAGAAAGCAAGAAAGGTAAATTCGCCTTAATCTATCGGCCCACGAAAGTTGTTATTTCTAAATATTTATGCAAAAGATTAAAATTAATTCAATTACAAAACAGCCGGTAGACTAATTAGCATAAACTAATATACAGTCTATAAAACAGAAACAAATACAGTCATAACAGTTGTAACTTTATTGTTAACAAGATTGGTTTAACGAAAATTTTATTGCGAATTGTTTCGTACTTGAAAAAAAAAATAACAAACACTATTTGTCTACTAATAAAACTTTACTACTTAAAAGCTAAAGAGTCAAAGCACCTAATTCGTAAAACCATAAATCACAACTCTCTGGTCGAAGTTTGGAAATTAGTTATTTAAAAAAATTACGAGAAATCAGTTCTGGGTGAAAATCCAAATATTAAATACACTAAAATTTTAAAAGTACGTCCCTGGTACGGGATTCTACTGCTCCTGATGCAGTGTCATTCCGAATACAGAGAAATAAAATTAGCGAATACAAAAATAACCTTCTGAGTGTAAGTAGAAACCTTAAACGCAACTATATTCCTGAATACAACCCTGAAATTTACGCGGAATATATGTCAAATCATTTTTTGTAAATAAAACTATCTATGTTTTGGATCCTGTTTCCAGAGTTTCCACTGTATATATAAATAATTGCCTAATTAAATAATTAAAATTCATTATTATTTCAAAGAAACCTAATAACTACGATTCATTTTCAGTTATTAATGTACCAGATGACGTGATGACGTGCAAAATGACGAGAAATCTTGTCTTTCGGTGTTTCAAAACGGGTTTTTCGAGAAATTGCACTGTTATTAAAAATCCCTACACAAGATTCCGTTGGTACGTCTTCACTAAAGGTCAAATGTTGTCCGCCATATTTGAACGAAATTAATGCAGTTTTTAAGTTATCTACTGCCAAATTGTCAAAATTTAAAACACAAGGTATTTTGGACATTTGTTTATTAAAGTTGCTAGTATTTAACAATTCGTACAGGGTCATTATAAAATATTGTAGTCGAAGAAGGCCATGATTTTGGTGACATTTTGTGCCGCCTTTTTCAGTTTTGTGGAAAGGATTACACTAATATTGGAATTTTTATTTTTAGCGCCACATTAGTTGACATTAGCGGCTGCACTGTTTCAACGCTTCATCAAATTCTGTCAGATGTCAATAATTTTTTCGTTTGTACTGGTACGTTTTCCCTCATTTTGTGCGTTAATTGACTTGTCTTGTTTTCATTTTTGCTGTCTTCCCCTTTGTTAGAACTTTAATAAGTGTCTCAAAAAACAGTTTTTATCAAAACTACAGATCATTGTGGAATAATCTCAGGTAATGAACAGAGAGGAATAACTATGGTCAGTGTTACAAATGATTTTTTTAGTTCTTTGGCGCAATCATCATGCCTATTACCGTAATGGGGTGTTAAATGAGGATGGGGATGGAGTGTACTCTGTGGAGGCGTCTAAAAACGAGTATCTAGTGAAATGTTCTGTTGTCATTGATGAAGAATCTTTGAAGACGCTATATGGCGAATTATGGCCAGATTTAACGACACTGGTAGCATTTCTAAGTGAAAACCGACGGGGAGACCTCAAGTTAGTGAATACGTTGTTGAAGATTTAAGGATGAGAATGGAACAAAGTCCGAATAAAGCTTTGTCAAAAATCTTTACTGTTCGGAGTACCATACAGCCCATGTCAGAAAATCGTAAAAGAGAAGTTACATATGCATCCGTACAAGATTTTGTTGGTTCAGGAGCTGCAACCAGCTGATTTTCCTTGCCGCGTTGGGTAGTGTAGTTGGTTTCAAGCTGATATGGACGATAACGGGATTCTCGATTTGTCGTTCTTTTCTGATGAAGCCTGGTTTCATCTGTTAGGCTATTATGTCAACTGACAGAACTTCAGAATTTGGTGTATAGAAAATACTCACGCTTTTGAAGAAACACCATCACACGCAATGAAGGTTGGTGTGTGGTTAGCAGACGACGATTCATAGGCCTGATACTTTTTCAAGTAAATGAATGTGATCAATAAACAAAATTAGATGTAGAAAGTGTATGTAGGTACTCCAATAAAGTTTTTTATTTTCAGTAACTTTCATTTTTCTTTCGGTGTTAGTTGCATTCTCTTAATTTAAAACTTACTTCAACTTACTGTTTAGTAATAATTGTAATTTTACTATTAGGAAAGTTAAAAATCTTTATTAAACATTCTGTTGTTTCAAGAGATCTCATAATCAGCTACAGAACTCTTAACACTATGCTCCTGAAATTTTATTGGTTTTTTCATCTTTTTTCTTATAGAAATTTTGAAAAATCTTGATATTAGGATGGCCATGTGGGCGTGTTTTGGGTAGAACCTCTTTGACATTCCTGTTATGCAGATCTGGCATGTTTCAGATATCTAGAAACTGCAAAGCTGAAGGTAATGTTTGGACATAGCAGTTTTCACCTATTGTAGGGATGAAGATCAAGGATTTCAGTTGTGTTTTTTCAAGAGAAAAGCACCGGTCACAAACCATGTTTGCACCAATATTTTGACGATTCCTTACAATTTACAAACAGAACTTTCGCGGGATCACAACTTTGGCAAAATTATTTACTGCAAAAACTCATTAGGTACTCATAGTGTTCGTTAACTGTGATAAGACTTGCTCTGCCATTGTCCATTACGTGATTTTTCACAATTTTTACCTTCAGGGTACCTATAAAAATGTAATTTTTTAAATAATTACCGTGTTCATTGGTTTCGACAAACTTAACCTCACTTTTTGGATTTCATTATTTGAAAAATTATTGCTTCTTTGCAAAACAGACCAGATGATTTATTCTGTTCAACACCAATCGACTTTCCAAGGTGTAATTCATGACAAAGCCCTTAAACGTTTTTCTGACAATTTACAATTTTTGAAACTGAAATGTATTGCAGTGGCGTTCACAAATGCTCGATAACACTGCAACCCTTAATGCTCTGGTCTGGCGTCTTTTCGTGTCTATTTAAAATGAAA